TCAAATAATAACTTCACTAAATTATTTTTTCATTAAATAATATCACTCTGGGCTGTGCGTGGTGGCTCACTCCTGTAATCCTAGCACTCAGGGAGGCCAAGGCAGGAGCATTGCTTGAGGTCAGGAGTTTAAGAGCAGCCTGAGCAAGAGCAAGACACTGTCTCTCCAAAAAATAGAAAAATTAGCTGGGTGTGGTGGTGCGTGCTTGTAGTCTCAGCTACTCAGGATGCTGAGGCAGGAGGATTGCTTGAGTCCAGGAGTTGGAGGTTTCTGTGAGCTAGGCTGACACCACAGCACCCTGGCCCAGGTGACAGAGTGAGACTGTCTCAAAAAAAAAAAAAAAAATCACTCTGTTATTAATATTGCAAAAACAAGGTGTGGGATGGTAGTTTTGTCTGGAATGTATTTTTCTCTATTCCTTTTCTTCTAAATGTTCTGTGCCAAGAGGTTCTGAGTGTGCATTTTATAAACAAGATATAGCCGTATTTCATTTCTTGTCCAGTACTTCTTTTAAGTGGCAAATTTAATCCGTTTATCTTTGTTTTTGTTACTGAAAGCTTGGCACTTGTCCACGAGGCTGAATCAGAAGAATGAGGACAAGTAGTTTAAGAGAAGGAAAGAGATTTATTTTTTTGTTGTCAAAGGGAGGAAAAAGGCAGACTATTGTCCCCAAATCCAATTTTTTCCTCCGCTGTAAGTGAAAATACAGAGATTTTAAAGGGGAGGGTTCTCAGGTTCAGGGTGTTGTTTTCTACTAATGTTGATGGTTCTGACCCCTTCATCTCCAGAATCTGTTGGGACCACCCCGCCCCCACCGGTCTGGAGCCAGGTGGAGCTGTCCAGGATCTCCTCTTTATCTCCTGCAATGCAAAGAACAAAGAAAACAGTCCCATGGCCCTCCCAGCCACTGGCCTTGGGCAGGGAAGCCGGTTTTAGTGAGAGCCAGAAATTTTGCCTTTTTTTTTTTTCTGGGCCATGCCCTGTTAGATATTCTCCACTCTCAATTTCACACTTCCATATCTATGGGAGGAGGGGCCGCTACTCTGTTACATTTTGATATTAGATTTATTTGAACTCATTCCTAATATCTTATTTTACATTTTAATTTGTTATGCCTGTCCTTCCTTTCTTTCATGTTTTTTAGCTTTCCATTGGACTCACTGATTTTTTTCATTATTACCCTTTTCTCTACATTCATTTTATTACTTTAATGATTACTTTTGATATCATAAAATATACACCCAACTTAAGCAAACAGAACTTAATTGGTATGCCTAACTCTCCTTATAAGCAATACAAGGACATCAAAATTCTTTATTTTGGTTTAGTCCATTTCATTTTCTATAATTATCATCCAGTGTTTTTGGTTCACTGTTTTTTTAATACTCTAGTCAGTATTATTGTATTTTTTTTACAACTAGTACATATATTTAGATTGACTTATACTTTTACCTCTTTCTTTTGCAATATTATTGCTTCTTGCATCCCTACTTTTTCTTCTGAGTTCATTTCTATTTTTTTTTTTGAGACAGAGTCTCACTGCGTTGCCCGGGCTAGAGTGCCGTGCCGTGGCGTCATCCTAGCTCACAGCAACCTCAAACTCCTGGGCTCAAGCGATCCTTCTGCCTCAGCCTCCCGAGTAGCTGGGACTACAGGCATGCACCACCATGCCCGGCTAATTTTTTCTATGTGTTTTTAGTTGTCCGATTAATTTCTTTCTATTTTTAGTAGAGACGGGGTCTCGCTCTTGCTCAGGCTGGTTTCAAACTCCTGAGCTCAAACAAACCACCCGCCTCGGCCTCCCAGAGAGCTAGGATTACAGGCGTGAGCCACCACACTCGGCCCATTTCTATTTTTTAATAGCAAGTCTTTTGGGATGCATTCGTTGAGTGACAAAACTTCTTAGTCTTTGGCCATAAATTGTTTAATTCACTTTTACACACACAAAAATCTGAGTGAGGGAATTTAAATACCGTTATTTCTGCCTTATCTATAATGTTGCAGGGTAGGCAAAATTTTACTTCTTCCCTCTTTGGATTTTTTGGTGAGGCTTGAGAATTATAATAAATTGACCTAAGGCCGGGCGCGTTGGCTCACGCCTGTAATCCTAGCACTCTGGGAGGCCGAGGCAGGCGGATTGCTTGAGCTCAGGAGTTCGAAACCAGCCTGAGCAAGAGCGAGACCCCGTCTCTACTAAAAATAGAAAGAAATTAATCGGACAACTAAAAATATATAGAAAAAATTAGCCGGGCATGGTGGCGCATGCCTGTAGTCCCAGCTGCTTGGGAGGCTGAGGCAGAAGGATCGCTTGAGCCCAGGAGTTTGAGGTTGCTGTGAGCTAGGATGACGCCATGGCACGGCACTCTAGCCCGGGCAACACAGTGAGAGTCTGTCTCAAAAAAAATATATATATAAATAAATTGACCTAAGACAGATCAACAGGAGAAAAGCATATACATTTATTGAATACAAGTTTTATGTGGCACAGGAGCTTTCATAAAGAAGGCTCAAAGACTCAGTCAGAATGGAACACTAATATACTAAATTGGATAAAGAGCAGTAAATTGTGACAATGTGACAAGGCAAAGGGGTTTGGGTTAAGGGAGTTAATTGGGTGGAGAAGTAACTTAGGAAGGTAAGAATTAGTTTAACAAGGTTTGTTTGTACAGATTTCTCTGGATCTCTTATTCTCTGTCTTCGATGAGAAGAATGATTCTTTCTGGTATAGGGAGGGCATCTTTCATTTCCTGCTTTTAAGAAACAGAAGGAAGGTCAGAGTGTTCTTGTACCTGCTATTTTTCAAGTGCCTTTAACTCAAAATAGTCAATATGCTAGAGTGGCATATTTGAATGCTGCATTCTGAACTCCTTCAATATGATTTATCATAATAGTTAAAAAAAAAAAGCATATATTTGTCATAGTCACTGCTAAAAGTGTAATGGTTAAATAGACAGTATTTATTTTAAATTAACAACTCATCGATCTTGGAATAACAAAAGTCAAATGAAAATCTTATATCATGCTTGAGAGGATCATATTATTCTGATTATAATCAACAAAAAGTTAAGAAAGTCAATATTATTTTTATTTATTATCATTCCTGGTTATTAGACAATGTATTTAGACAAGGTTAAATATAAAAAACAGTAAGACAAAATTTTATAATTTTTCTGCCTATCTGGAAAACTATAGAGAAAAAAAGCTAGAAATAGAAATGACAGAATTCAAAAAGGTAAATACAAAAGTCATTAACTTTTCTGTCTGTAAAAAATGATCAGTAAGAAAATGTAATAAAAGAAACCCTTCTAATATTTCCCCAAAATAAAATAAAAAAGAACACCTGGAGATAAATTCCATGAAACATGCATAAAAGCTCCATAAGGAAAATCATAAACTTCTACAAGAGTCATAGAATAAATTTCAAAAAATCAGGAAACATGTATCCTTACATATGCATTCCATTTTTTATAAATCTTATTTTATTCTGTATAAGCCTTTAATTGAATAGGATTGCATTAGAGCTGAAAAGTAAAGCATTATGTAGTGCATTTGGAAGAAAAGAACACACAGGTTCTATCTTGTAGTCAGGGAACTCCTTTCCAGCCTTCTCACACATGCTCTGGCAAGTCTGGGAGTTAAGCTCCTCTTCCTTGATGGAAGATTATTTACATAAATCACTTGGAAGTCATCTGTTTAGATTTGTCTTGTATCCCTCACTTATTCAGTAATTCCTTCCCAATTTTAAAATTTCACATTTTCTATGTTCTAAATATTATCCAGTTTTGTTTGATGTATCTTCGCAATTTTCTTGTTAATTTTCAAAAATCTTCCTTGCTTTTTTGCCCTAATTGCATGTCTCATTCAGTATTTATGTAGATTAATTCAAGGGATAACTGATCCTTCTATAACTCAATTGTTCTTATTCAACATATGATGTAGTTTATAAGACTTTATGCTTTTTCTTATCTGCTTCATATTTTATTACATGTAGATCTTGCCTCTAGTAATTATCTTTTTTTCTAGAGGTAAGGTAAACTGTTGAATATTGTACAGTAATTTTCAATTTCATTTTTGACAACCTAACTGGTAATTTGCTTTTCAATTTCTCTCGGTGTTTACGGTACAAACAGATCAACATTTTATTGTCCAAATTTCCTGAATTTCAAATTGAAGTCTTCTTGTCACATTCCTGCCCCTGAGACTGACATTAGTGTCTTACCACCACACATGGTAAAAGGCTGCTTCTTGAAATACCTTGTTCTATATTTTAAGAAACAGTTTATTCAATAAAATGTGAAACCATAAGTATCAAATATTCATATATGCTCCTTTACTACACTTTAAGATGAACTTGCTAACTTTTTACTTATATGCCATATCTAAAGATTTCAAGATACTACTATATTTGGAAGGAAATTCTTTTCTAGAAAATACCTCATACAGTCTTCTTAGACTGGCTTTGTACTGTAGGATTGCCCCAGGTTAAACTGGAAGCTGTAAGATAATACCTTTTCTTGCTTGTTGTAATCTAATCACTTACGAATCTAATTCTTAACCCATTTAAACAATCTCTAAAATACATTACCCTCATCACAATACTTCAGAAACTACAAGGTTGTCACATTGGGGTACATTGGAGTAATGGACACTCACCCCTGATGTTCTCCAGAAACGTGTTGACTAAAAATGGGATTGCTGCTGCCAGGAGCTTAAGGCCGGTTTCCTACATAAATTAGGTATGAGAGCAGGTCACTCCTGGCAGGCCTAAGTGCATGGGCTTTTTGGCCTTCTCAATTGCTCCACAGCCTTAAGCTAACAGCGTTGATTTACTCTTTATTAGAACAAAAGATCCTTTCGAGAATTATTTTTTCGGCAGGCTACTCCTGGAGAATTATGTAACTACAGCTCTTCTTCGAAGTGGTGGGTGGCTCTGAAAAGAGCCTTTTTTGTTGGATTTCCCTCCAGACGTTTAAGCCACTAATACACGCTACCTGGAAAAATTACTTGCTCTGGACCTTGTGGTGGTGACTCTCAGTCTTCTTGGGCAGTAGCACCGCCTGGATGTTGGGCAAGACGCCGCCCTGCGCGATGGTGACGCCGCCCAACAACTTGTTGAGCTCCTCGTCGTTACGGATGGCCAGCTGCAGATGGCGCGGGATAATGCGGGTCTTCTTATTGTCGCGAGAAGCGTTACCTGCCAGCTCTAATATCTCAGCAGTCAGGTATTCCAGCACCGCTGCCAGGTACACCGGCGCGCCACCCCCAATCCGCTCAGCATAGTTGCCTTTACGAAGCAGGCGATGGATTCGACCTACAGGGAACTGTAGGCCTGCTCTAGATGACCGAGATTTAGCTTTGGCGCGTGCCTTACCCCCCTGCTTCCCGCGTCCAGACATAACTGAAAACTACTAAAAACAAGGAAATGGAGCCATTAGGGTTGGCGACAGGGCCTATTTATAGCCTGGCAGCAGTTGGACTTTGTTATCTGATTGGCTGATGGCAGTCTATCCAATCAAAAAGCCTGACTGAAATCACCTAATTTGCATACACACCGCCACCCATTATCCAATCAGATACTGGATTTTCAATACGGCACAGAAGGGCCTGCCTATAAATACCGCAGTTGCCACCCTCAGAAGCTATCGTTTGCTTGGCGTAAGTTGGAGCAGTAGAGCTGTAACCGTAAAAGAGCTGTTAACCGTTCAGAGCTGTTAACGCTAGAGAGCTGATAACCGTATAGAGCTGTTAATCTTACAGAGCTGTGTATCTTACAGAGCTGTGTGTTAATCATGCCGGAATTGTCATCAAAGGGCATCGCTATTTCCAAAAAGGGATTCAAAAAAGCGGTTAGCAAAACTCACAAGAAGGAGGAGAAAAAGCGCAAAAAGTGTCGCAAAGAGAGCTATTCCATTTATATCTATAAGGTGTTGAAGCAGGTTCATCCAGATACTGGTATTTCTTCAAAGGCCATGAGCATCATGAATTCCTTTGTAACTGACATCTTCGAACGAATCGCAGGGGAGTCGTCGCGCTTGGCCCATTACAACAAGCGCTCGACCATCACTTCCAGGGAGATCCAGACAGCCATGCGCCTGTTGCTGCCTGGGGAGTTGGCCAAGCACGCTGTGTCTGAGGGTACTAAGGCCGTTACAAAGTACACGAGCTCCAAGTAAACTTGTCAAGTAAGCTACGATCCAAAGGCTCTTTTCAGAGCCACCCACACAAACTGGAAAGAACTGTGACTCACTAATGAGAAATCTGTGCCTAGTAAAGATTGAAACGTTGGGGCTGTCGGCAAGTTATGTCTAAAGGTGTATTAAACTGTGCACTAGTATATTCGGCAGGTTGGTGGGATTTGGAGCTTCAAACTGGCTTTTCTGGCCTTAGATCCACCTACAGCTTAACCACCAGGTCTTTAGGTTTGTATTTACAGCATACTGACAGAACTGTGGTAGGGTCATGTGGAAACCTGCAATCTCGCCAACCACAATGAAGTGGCAAGCCCTATTTTTGTTTCCTTACAAATTTTAGTAGGATTGCTTTTTTTTTTTTTTATAAAGTTATTGGAAGTGGTTATATTGTGTGTTACTGGAGAAGACAATCATCAAAGAATATTAAACCACTTTGAGGGATCAAATTATTTCTGGCAACGTGGTTAGCTGCGGTCTTCCATTTATTGTGTATTTTTGTCATGATTTTGCATGTATTAAGGAACTTTACGATTTGGTAAGATAAAGTACCCAGTAAAAATAGTTATCTTAAATTTCTGTGTGCAATGAGACAGCTCCTGCAGAGCTTGTCTATGTCTTAGCTGGTAGTCCTCCAAGGTGACTGGACATCTGTGTCCACATTGTTTTGGGGGTGTCTTCTCTAATCAAGGCTCCCAACTGCCCTGAGACCCTGGGAAACCAGGTATCACACAGCTCCCAAATACTGTCAACTTTTTGACCACTCATTAGGCTCCTCTGTTTATCCAAGGACTCATGATTATTTGGGGAAAGGGCAACTAGGAATGCTAGGAAAGAACATCTCTTTTGAGACCAAACCTGCTGTATTAATAGCTTTTGTATCAGATATATTTTGTCTACAAATAACAGGGAGTGCCAGCTGAACTGCTTGAGATAAGTAATACCACTAAAAAGGACACCCAAAAACACATGTTCCATGAGGACAACCAGAGCCCTGGCTCCACTGCCCTGCAGTTTTGTCTCTGTCTCCACACCCTGACTTTACTCTCACACTGATCACAGTTCCAAGTGTTTATGCAGATAGGACAAAGTAAAGTCAGGAAGAGACCATCTATTCCCCTGGGTCTTGAGATCAAGGAAACACTTCCTAGAGGACTCCTTCCTCCTCAGGTCCATTTTCCAGAACTGAGACCACATGACGGATGTGGACCAATCAACAGCCTTCATATAAAATATATTTTAGCATTTTAAAAAATTAAATGTAGTTCTAGGTATTTTTGTTATTGTGAGGTATTCTCTATTCATATGCTGTAACATTTGTTTTATATGAAAGATTGCTTTCTGTGCATTTTTTTTATATCCTACTACTATCTCATTGATTTATTTTCATATTAGTTTTCTGGTAGATTCTGTTGGGTTTTCCGTATTTGCAATACAAGTTGAGCATCCCTAAACCGAAAATCTTCAAAATCTGAAATTTTATTGTATTATGGATTTCTTTGGAAGTCTAGTTGAGCCTATACACATCTTTTTAATATAAATGCATACAATAAGATAGGAATTTTTGTAATGAAACGATACCAGATTGAAATAGTTTTCAAAAATATTTTTTAAAGTGTTTGATATAGTAATAATTGTCCTTCTTTATTTGTGCTTTTAATAATAAGATCTAAAATACTATTTTAGTACATACATTATGAAAAACAGTATAAATGTTCCTCAAAAAATTAAAACTATTGTATGATTCAGCAACATCACTACTGAGTGTATATCCAAAAAGAAATGAAATCAGTATATCAAAGATAACTGTACTCTCATGTTCATTGTCACATTATTCACGAACGACTTAAGAGTCCATCAACAGATAAATGGATAAAGAAAATGTGCTATATATACACAATAGAATACTATTCAATTTTAAAAAAGGAAATCCTGTCATTTATAACAACATGGATGAACCTGGAGGACATTATGTTAAGTGAAATAAGCCGGGCACAGAGAGGCAAAGTGGAATCTAAAAAATTTGAATTCACAGAAGTAGAGAGTAGGTTACCAGGGGCTGCTGTAGGGGAGGTTTGGGGAGATGTTGGTGAAAGGATACAAAATTTCAGTTAGGAATAAGTTCAAGAGCTCTGTTGTACAACATGGTGACTATACTTAGTAACAATGTATTATATTCTTGAGGATTGCTAAGAGAGTAGATTTTAAGTGTTCTCACCACAAAAATGAGAAGTATGTGAGGTAATGCATGTGCTAACTAGATCAATTTAGCCATTCCACAAGGTATACGTGTTTCAAAACATGTTATACAGAGTATATACAATTTTTGTCAATAAAAAAATAAAATAATATTTTGAAATTTTGAGGAACAAATATTTTGAGATATCTGTAATTATGGTTAAGTGCTAGAAATATAGCTGTGATTTTCATTGGCAACAAAATTACAGGTATAGCTAATATGACTGGTGTATTGCCTATATTCATAGTTGAAAAAAACATAAAATTTCACTTAATGGTTTTGTCCAAAGGACCACCAGGGTGGCTAAATAGTACAAAGGAGAGCAAACTGGGAACAGTTTCTAGAGTGTCCTCTTGGAAGAGGAAAAGGACAGGTTGGGTTTTATGCCTCACAGGGTCTATATTACACAACGGAGTCATATATTCAACAGGTTTTGGAGAAAAACTATAGATATTTATGAAGGAGATCGAGCACATGTGCAGTAGGTAAACATATATAATATACATACCATGTTAACTTGGAGGCAAGGATTTAGCATTAAAATGAGGTGGAATTTGGCTCTTTATGTCAAAAGGTGAACTATAGGATGCAAAGACAATTTGTGCACAGTCTCAATAAACTGGCTGAAACTGGTTGAGGTGTACAGTTGCTTATCAGAAAAGGGTATTTGTAAAGCTGGTCTTCTGTCCAACCGGATTTGTAGTGGTCTGGGTTGTAATTCAGAGTCAAGAAGGATCTGATAATTTGACTGATAGCGCCTATTGTTAGGGAGTTTAGCAAGGGTGTGGTTTTTCTTGTAGCCATAAGACATTAGGAAGATGACATGCCAGCTAAGCCCTGAACCCTTGGCGGTAGGTAACTTTTGTTTCCTTAATCTTAAGGTCCATCTTAGTTGATTAAAGGGACAGCTATTTTAGTCTCTCAGATTACATTAGTGAAAATAAAAATATTTTTATCATCTAAAATTATTTTGTCAGCTGGGTGGAGAGAGGGAGGCAAGATTAGGAGCAGTGAGACTAATTAGGGACTGTAATCCAGGTGAGAGATGATGGGTACTTGGACAAAAACAGTGGCAGTGGAGATGGTAAAAAGCAGTCAGACCACAGAAATATGTAGGAGGAGATACAATCACTGTATCTGACAGATTAAAGTGGAGGTTGACCAGAGGGACTATCAAAGAAAAATGACCACATTTCTGACTTGGACAGCCATGTGAATGGGGTGGTTCCCATGGATATAGGGAACATGAGTTCAGGAACAGTTCTGTCAGGATAGATTGCAAATCCCTGTGGAGAGAATTTTGAGAAGGCTGAGAAACATGGGAACTGTGATGTTTAGTAAGCAGTTGAATTTATTGGTATGAAGTTTATGGAGAGCCCTGGACTGCAGATATAAATTTGAGTCATTTGCCACAGGTATTTAGAGGAAAGGATGTGGTTCAGATTGTCTAGAGAGAGAGAGTTTAGAGCTACACTGTCCAATATGGTAGTCACTAGCCATATGTGACTACTAGTCATTTGAAATGTTGCAGGTCTGAACTGAGATATGACTTCAGTGTAAAATGTACTCTGAATTTTGAAGTCTTAATTTTTTAAAAAAGGTAAATTATAATTTTTATCTTGATTGTATGTTGAAATTATAACATTTGGATATATGAATTAAACAAATTATTTGATTAAAATGAACTTCACTTGTTTCTTTTTCCTACTTTAAGTGTGGCTACTGGAAGGTTTAACGTTATATAAGTGGCCAGTATTTCTAGCTTACATTTTATTTCTAGTGGACATTTTTGACATTAAAAACTTTTGTTCTGTAAAAGACACTGTTAAGAGACTAAAAAGACTGATCACAGACTGGGAGAAAATATTTGCCAATCATGTATCTGATAAAGAACTTGTATCCAGAACATATTTTTAAAAAATTCTTGAAATTTGACAGTGAGAAAACAAACAATTCAAGTAAAGAATGGGCAAAAGATCCAGAAAGACATCTCAACAAAAAGATATGCAAATGAAAAATAAACATAAAAAGATGCTCAACCTCATTTGTTTTTAGGTAAATGTAAATAAAAACAATGAGATCCTACTACACACCTATCAGGATGACTAAGACCCAAAACATGACATTAACAAATGCTGGCAAGCCTGTGAAACAATAGGAACCTTCATTTGTTGCTGTGGGAATGCAGAAAGGTGCAGCCACTTTGGGAGACAGTTTGGCAGTTTTTCTAAAGCTAAATATACCTTTATCATATAACCCAGCAATCATGTTAGTATTTACCCAACTGACTTGAAAACTTATGTCCACACAAAACCTGGCACATGAGTATTTATAACAACTTTACTTACAATGGCTAAAAAGTGGAAGCAACCAAGATCACTGCAATAGCTGAATGGGTACACAAAATGTGGTATATTCATACAATAGAATACTATTCAGTGATAAAAAGGAATGAGCAATTGATCTATATAACAAAATGGGGTGAATCTTAAATATATGCTGTCAAGTGAAAGAACTAGCCTGAAAAACTACTACATACTTTTCAACTCTAGAGTTGACAGGGATTTGGGGGCTGTGCAGATATCTGCTGTCTCCCAGGGTTTTATCATGGCAGCTGAGACTCTCTCCCATACAATGTGGGCACAGATGCCTCATCTGTCAGCTCCGTGGAGGACTTCTAGCTAAGGCATTGTGGAGTTTTGCAGAGGCTGTCTCACTGTGCATAGAACTGGAGGACATTTTTTTT